ATGCTTGGATATTTTCACAAAAGAGGAAACTTTGGATGAACATGAAAAACCGACGTGTTTGAGTTGCAAGGAAAGAAGAAAATGCACAAAGTCTCTATCAATCCATAACTTTCCCCGTATTTGAATCATTAATTTGAAAAAATTACCTCTAACAGAAAGATTCAGAGGCAAGTTGAATGTTGCCATTGAATTTTCTCCAGATGGATCAGATATGAACATTTATGCAGCAGACAATGTGACTTTTTGTCGTTTTAATCTATATGTACATTGTCATCAATTTCACCAAAATCGCTAGTGAATGGAGATGCATACATCCTCTTTTATGAAAAGAAGAACACGAGTTCGCACCTTTGAGCGTTTTGAAAAGTTATTTTTGAACTGTTAATCTTCAGTACACAAAATATACTATAGAAATGTAGCCTTTCATGGCTGGTGTTAATGTTTTGATTGGCTTTCGGGTTTTGCCATGGTTTTCTTTGGTTTTAATCTTCAAACTACAACTGCCGCAGTTGCAGTTGAAACTATTGGAGATTATTACCAAAGAAGACCGAAGAAGAATGATAGTTTCAGTTTTAGTTATTTCAAAACATTTATTCAATTGATTTTGACTATTTTATCATGTCTATATCTTATTATTCAGAACCATTAATTGAAAATCTGACTTAAATGTGAAAATTACAAAAAAAAATAAATTTCGAACTCTGCGGAAAGTGCGGCATGTGAAGGTCTACCCTGTACCCAGAATGAAATCTCTGCTTTCAAAAATGCATGGGTGTCTTCATCATAGGTGTGTCGTACTTTACAATCTAATATCTAAAGGACGAGGAAGTTTTAAAAATTTCTCATTATTCAATATTTCAATTTCTATTGAAACAAAAAAATAAAAAAAACTACCTGTCACATCGATTATTTTGGAAATATCAAGTTGAATCATTTCGAACATAGAATATACAGATAGGTTTTTATGGTCTTTTTTTGGTATTTTTACCTTTCACTGTCTGAAAAAATATGAAAATTATAATGGAAAATTTAATACAAGTGTAGAAAGGTGAAACTTTTCAGATTACCTCGATAAGTTACTGCGTAAAATCAAAGTATTTTTCACAAAGAAAATGTTTCTATTCATCAGTAACTTGTCGTTTTCAAGAATTTTGCCTATCAAAAAAAAAGATAAGAAATAATACAATGCTTATCTCAACGCTTCGGAGACCAAAATTTGCCTCCGTCTTCGGAAATGAACAAAATTTAAATATATTTGCAGTTATTCCTTTGCTGATTGCTTATTTTTTATTTCTTTACTTCTTCGACAGATGTCAACAGAGTTTTGAAATGTGAATTATGTCAATGTTCTTCTATATCAGTCTGTTGCTATTTTGCCACTAGCCATATTTTCTTTCATGACGGGTAGCCAAGTACGATCTATTTCTAAGGAGCTGTTTGAAATAAACTTCTCTCCAGATTTGAGAATATACACAGATTCTTTTAGTTTACGTCTCTAAGAGTGAGGTTCATTGACAATCTTTCTCGTCTTGTTCCATTCAACTCAGAGTTGACCATCTTGTTCAATCTCTATTGTGAACTTAACTTTCGGTTCCTGTTCGTAGACATAATTTAAGAAAGTATTCAGATCATCATGGGTTTTATTCCACACAGCAAAGATATCTCCACCAAACTTTGGGACCGCCCTGGTAAGTCTCAACAAAAGATTCTTCAAAATATTCCTGTTGATAATAGAAATCATCTCCATATTGAAAATATGTTTTGTCTGTATCAATTCATCACTCATAATAACTCATCTGTACCTCAAAGTGATAGATTCGTTCCATAAAATAGACAAGCAATACTTCCCTTGTAACTAATTTTGAATTTTTGTCCCTAAAATTTACTGAATTATTTGTTGTATTACCTTTCCGATATTTTACGAATGATACTTAAATGAGTCGGTTCAGTTTTTTTCTCAATTTCGTCGCGCAAATGCATATCTTAAGAATGTAATTTGCAAATCATATGGAGTTGGTTATTTATCAAAGAAAGAAGCACAGAAAGCACATTTGATATCTCAAAAGTAAATGTCAGCGATGAAGTAACAAGGTTATAACTGTATTTTGCCCTGTATTTTTTGTGGTTTCAAGGCGTCGACTACGAGGTCATTGGCCTTCTACTATTAGTATATGTATCATTTGTTTTCTTGTTAAAATTTTTGAGTACAGCCCTATTGCTTTCATAAATTTTATAATATTGTCATCATGATCTTTCAGACATTCCCTCAGAATATTTGGCATTTCAAATCTTTCTCTAGCCTCATCATATTGAACAAAGTTTAGCAAGATATGTTTCACTGTAAGCCTCCATCTACATTGTTGACATATTGGTTGTCTTTCTCCTGAGAGCATGAATATGTTTGTTAGGTTGGTATGTCCTATTCTCAAGCGTGTGATCACAGTTTGCACTCTTCGTGTCTGTGGAATAGAATGCTTCCAGGGTATAATTTTTGGCTTCACCCCTTTCAATTTTGTATCTGTTCTCTCCCATTAGGTTTGCCATGAACTCATAATTTGTTGTTTGATTTTTTACGACTTTCGGTCGAATAGGAATATTCCAAAAATCAGGTGTTTCAGGAGCACGTTTGGTTGCCTGATCTGCTAGTTCATTATCCAAGATTCTTTAGTGTCTAGGAGTCCATACAAATCAATGTGCTTCAGGAGCACGTTTGGTTGCCTGATCTGCTAGTTCATTATCCAAGATTCTTTAGTGTCTAGGAGTCCATACAAATCAATGTGCTTCAGGAGCACGTTTGGTTGCCTGATCTGCTAGTTCATTATCCAAGATTCTTTAGTGTCTAGGAGTCCATACAAATCAATGTGCTTCAGGAGCACGTTTGGTTGCCTGATCTGCTAGTTCATTATCCAAGATTCTTTAGTGTCTAGGAGTCCATACAAATCAATGTGCTTCAGGAGCACGTTTGGTTGCCTGATCTGCTAGTTCATTATCCAAGATTCTTTAGTGTCTAGGAGTCCATACAAATCAATGTGCTTCAGGAGCACGTTTGGTTGCCTGATCTGCTAGTTCATTATCCAAGATTCTTTAGTGTCTAGGAGTCCATACAAATCAATGTGCTTCAGGAGCACGTTTGGTTGCCTGATCTGCTAGTTCATTATCCAAGATTCTTTAGTGTCTAGGAGTCCATACAAATCAATGTGCTTCAGGAGCACGTTTGGTTGCCTGATCTGCTAGTTCATTATCCAAGATTCTTTAGTGTCTAGGAGTCCATACAAATCAATGTGCTTCAGGAGCACGTTTGGTTGCCTGATCTGCTAGTTCATTATCCAAGATTCTTTAGTGTCTAGGAGTCCATACAAATCAATGTGCTTCAGGAGCACGTTTGGTTGCCTGATCTGCTAGTTCATTATCCAAGATTCTTTAGTGTCTAGGAGTCCATACAAATCAATGTGCTTCAGGAGCACGTTTGGTTGCCTGATCTGCTAGTTCATTATCCAAGATTCTTTAGTGTCTAGGAGTCCATACAAATCAATGTGCTTCAGGAGCACGTTTGGTTGCCTGATCTGCTAGTTCATTATCCAAGATTCTTTAGTGTCTAGGAGTCCATACAAATCAATGTGNCATTATAATTTTTATATTTTTCAGATTGTGGAAGTTGAAAAATACCCAAAAAAGATCGATAAAAATAGATTTTATATTTTACTATTTTCTATTGATTTAAATTAATCATTAATCGAACCCAAAGTGAAACATGCTGCATCCATAATGATGCGGTTTAAGAGTTTCAACTAGCTCAACAAAAATGTCCGTATATTGATTCTAGAAGAAATGTGATAAATCAGGTGAAGATGAATTCAAAATGATTGAAATATTATGGAAATATAGTTTTTATTATTTTTTTATTTATTTTCAACTATTCGCGAAGAATGATACCGGCATTAATCAGCAAGTATTATTTTTCCAAAAATATTAAGAAATGTTTTCCTATTAATTCTGAATCATGTTCTTTGAAAGTAGTTACGAAATTCATATAAATTATCAGCAAATATTAGGTATTATCCGGGAGAGTAGTTGTTTATCAGAACCTACTATGTAGAAACGTTTGGAAGAGTTGAATTTCTCAAAATGTCATTTTGAAATATTTATTTTCTCAGAAATGCGTCTGAATAATTTCCTCAAAAATTGAAAAAAATTATGAAATCAAGTTAAAAGTTTTTGTTGTAAACAAATGAATATGGAGTTTTTTCCAACACTAAACCGTTATTTTAACTCCTCGACACGTGTTTCAATCACCAAAAGATCATCTTCAAGAAAAATATTAAACCCGTGTCAAGGTGTTAAAATAACGGTTTGGTGTTAGAAAAAACTTTTGTTGTGAACAAATGATGATGAGGTTGTATTTTATATAATCTAAATGAGTTCATGAAATTCAAAATGAATATCGATGATTGTACTTGTGATGTACAGTTTGGAACCTTTGGTGTAGTAATGAATATTACTGGAGTCTTTTTTCCAACACCAAACCGTTATTTTAACACCTCGACACGTGTTTCGATCACCATGTGATCACCTTCAAGAGGAAGATTAAATACGTGTCAAGGTGTTAAAATAACAGTTTGGTGTTGAAAATATTACAGTGATATTCATCGGTGATTGTATTTATATTGAAGAAAAAATGAATGAAGACGGAAAGAAAATCTTCACAAAAGGCTGTACCTTTTTTATGTTCCCAGACCACATTTTTAAGATGAAAATCAATCATGTATTCTTTCACATACAGAATATTTTTTATGTTGTAATTGTATTTCTTTTCTGTTATTTCGACTCTATTTGAATTCTCATAACTCAATAAAAAAAGTTTCGTCGAATCATCATTGGCAACTAAACGCTATATATGATGAACAACGGCATCCAAACTGATCCCTGTGGTAACTCGCTCAACGTGTATGCCGTAACACCTCGATACCATTTCGATGTTCAAAATATCCTTTTCGTTTCAGCTTCCCAGCACAGTGGGACTCTTGATGAACGAGAAGAAGACGACGAAGAATCCGAAATTCGATGCTACGTTTGCGACCAGGCCTACAATGACATCGACAAGTGAGTATTACCACAGACCAAATCAGAGATATTTTGGCGTAGCCTTCACGGATGGTGTCACATGCAGAAGTGATATCTCGTGCATTTCGATGTTCACGTGAAAGTAGTTGTTCTGAATGGATTTTTTCTTCACGTTTGTAACTGAAAGCAACGTCTGCGTTTCTTTGGCATTTTCCCTATTTTTTGTTTCATTAATAAAATAGCAGAAAACCGAGAAGCGTTTTCTCTTTCAAATTCTACGAAATTGGTGTGATTATAAATTTCTTTCTATTTTCTTTGGTCTACTCTAACATTTCTCTCTGTATTTCTTTATTCTATGGTATGAAGAGAAAAAGATACACCCTGAAAAGCTTCCCGAATAAATAATTCAAATCATCGTATGCGCGTCCGGCACTTAATTAGTTGGTACAGGATTTATCAGCGTAGTCGATCATAGAAACTGTTTTTTCAGTGACAACACCGTTCGTGACGATTGCTTTGGTGTATGTTTATTTTATTATTCATGAAGATAAAACAGGAATTACTGAAAGATTAACTGTGACGGTTTCGGTAGGTTTTTATTAGTATATTCAATGTTGTTTTTCGTATTTCATCCTATTGTTATTTAAAGGGGTTGATATACAGGGTTTTTCATGATGAGCGTTAATTTGCCGTTTCTGGCAAACTATTCAACGGATCAACCTGAAAATTCTACAGTATGCATAAGTCAATATGACCTACACGCCTAAAATATTTTAGACGAAGCGGCGTTGTCGCTTCTACTATAAAGTAGCGGCTTCTTTGATTTTTCAAGTATCACTCCACTCCATTTCAAATTTGATCGTTTTAGTGCAAGAGAGTTCAAGATTATCAGCATTTATAAAAGTTCATGTTTGGTAAAAAAAATATCGAAATTAATTTATATTTTCTAAACGGTAATAGATAGGTATAGGAAAAAAGTATATGAATTTGTTGACAATATGATAATGAATCATAATAAGATATTATATACGGGGTGTTTCCTTTGAAAAATCAAAGAAGCCGCTACTTTATAATAGAAGCGATCACGCCGCTTCGTCTGAAATATTTTAGGCGTGTAGGTCATATTGATTTATGCCTACTGTGAAATTTTCAGGTTGATCCGTTGAATAGTTTGTCAGAAATGGCTAATTAACGCTCATCATGAAAAGCCCTGTATTGTTGAAATCCTTATTTTCTTTTTGTGGAGAAGTATTGATGGTATTATGTTGCTAGTTGTACATATAACATTTTGAATACATCTGAAGATCCCATTTCAATAACACTTCACCCGACTATAACAAGTATATCACTGATTCGCTTTGCGAGTTAAGGCTGTCATGTTTTGTAATGAACTGAATAAGCAGTGCTACTTCGTTTGAAAAATTTCTAGTTGTGTTTTTCAATATTTTTCATTACCATTTTGCGAATTCTTCGCTATTCGTTTATTGACCTAGAACCGAACTCAAAGGGGCAATAATAGTGAAAATGGTAGTGGTTTCATTAATGCTCATTTTTTTTCGATGGGAATTTCAATCCTGAAATGATCCCTACTAATTCTATCCTAAAGACCTCCAAATTAGCTGATGATGAAAGTGATTAGAAAAAAAAGAGTTTGTCGTGTTTCAAATGATTGTCTGCAGAAAATACCTGTTAGATTCATGTTAAATTAACAGATTCTTGCATCTAACTTCAGTTTTCTGACCCGAAAAGGTAGAATTATATGTGTAATGATAAGTGGAAATAGTGTATTACGTAGCAAGTAGGTAGCTTATAATCAAAACAAGTGGTTGTTGATTCACGGATATAACTAGATTCATTACCAATCCACAAACTGTGGAACAATAAATTTACTGGAAGTATGATTTTTATTTCGATTTTACAGATAATTTTAAGAGAAAATTCACTGATTTTGGCTTTTGGACAATTGAGTGTATTTATGAGATCATATTTATCAGAGTAAATATTATATATCTCATAATTTTTTTAAATTTCTTATGGAACTGACCGCCAATAATTTAGTATCCACTTGTATACTAAATGAGCCATTACCTATCTGCTGTCAAACACGTAATGATTACTTTAAAATGAAGGGAGTAGAAAATATCAGTTATAGGAATGCAGTGTATACATAGCATGTAACAATGGTCCCAATAATGAACCTTGTGGTACTACAAAAAGCCCAGAAATGGAACTATTATTTGCACCTCCTGAGAAAAGTAGTTTTTAAAAAACATTACACTGTTTTTCGCTGGAACGATAACCATTCAAAAGTCGATTAATTTTTATGGAGAATGTTGATAGTTTTATGAAGTCAATAAAGAGCAACTTGAACAGTATCATTATTGAATTGAACCCACAGTTTTTATTTGTTTACAAGAATGATCCACATGTACTTTCATTCTACCAATTTTCCTGATCGATAGACACACAAACCGCTGGGAAAGCCCTCACCTGGTGCACTCCACTAATATGAAAATAAAAATAGTTGTCGTGTGATACATATACATATTTTATTAATTAGTAACCCATCAGTGATGCGCGATCAAAAAGTATCTGTCGGAAAATGTTCCGATATTGATGATCCGAAAAACAAAGATTCACTTCGCGTGACTATCGGTGATCAGGGGCATAAAGCAATCGAAAATGATAATAATATTTTCAGAAGTGGGATTACTTTCACAGGAAACTTTAATGGGTTTTGAGTGAATGTTATTGGAGTTTGATATTTATTATTTAATTGCAGGCCAAGCGGTTTTGTTATCCTTTTCAATCTCCCCACATGTCATCTGTACACACATATTCATTTCATTCGGTTCCTCATTTTCCAATCATTTTGAATTCCATAAAGTTTTGCTAATATCGTGAATTGATTCAACATTTGGAACGAAATACATTCATTCATATGGTCAGATATGTATTTTCAAATCACCAATCACTCTACCAACTGTTAATTTATGTATTTCCAGTACATGGTTTTATGAATTGAGTGAATATATTTTCGAAGAAATATTGAAGAATCGTGGATTTTTGTTATTGAGAAACATCAAATTCTTTCAATGGTTGAGTCCACAAAGTCGTAAAAATTTGAGATTCGCAAAAATGTCTACAGCTTGGTTGGTTACGCAAAAGTAACATTGTAAACTTGTTACAGGGCAAAATGCTACAGGGCGTATTCGATGTTATGTTGATGGGTCCAAACATCCTCTGCTATTTCTGATTTGCTGGTTGGTGGCCTGGTTTTCGTGAGGCTGCTACGGATAGTGTTTCTGGATCTGAAGCAAGTTCTGATGTTGGATCCAAGTACAATTCTTCAATTTTTAATTCTTCTTTTTAGTTATTTCAGGGATTTCAAATTATTTTATATAATATTAGACAATGGAAGTCCGACCTATTGAAAATAAGGTTCACCTTACATTGATTTGTCGAAAACTGAAAGACTTCATGTTTTATCATAAAATAAAGTTCTAGTGACATTTTACATGATTTACAAAATTTAGATCTTTAGTCCGTAGACATGTTGAGAATTTATCAGTTTAGCAATTAGTTTTTCTGTTATTTTTTATTTTATTTTTCTTGTTGTGAGTTGTAATAAGTACTGCTCGTTGTTAGATAATAATACATCCCCATATTATATTATATTGTTTTATATAACATATCATTTCAAGTGCTTGTATATTCATGTATATTTCTTATAAGTCATCCTTGTAATGAGGCCGTCAGGCCTGTTAGGGTGAAATAAATAAATAAATGAATGATTTAAGTTTCACACAGATATTTATGATTTGAGCCAAATTTCACTAACAAATGGTTTGAGAGTTATATAAAATTCAGTTAAAGAAAATGTGGATTTCGTTTCTCAAAATTCAACAAGAACTATTACAGATATTCAAATTTTGAAAAAAAGTTAGACAGTGAGAACATTAATGAGCTGGCGAACAATTTTTATATCAATTTTCCTCTCAATTAGGTTTGCGTTTATCAACAAATTTTTCGAGTTGAAGTTTTACATAGAGCCTTGATAAATTTCGAAATTGAAGCCTAGTTTTTTTGAAGCTGTTCTTTGAAGACTTTAAAAAAGTTTCTTTATTGAGAATATGGAAAAAAATCATATTCATTTACGGAGGATCAAACATTACAAATTGAAAACATGAGATATTAAAAAAACAATTATTTCAATTTGTTTCCACATCAATGAAAGCCCCATTGTAATGTTTTTCATTGAATTTATCATTCCTATCTTTCGAAAACTTGTCTGATGATGATTTGAATGATTTTGATAAAATGTCAATCAACTGTTCATTCTTCCAGTGGAAATCCTGTTTACTACCCTTCTGTATTCTGAAAAACATTTTTTAAATTTTTTTATTTGTTTATTTGGTAAACAGTTTGTTATTATAAAATGGATTTTTCACACACCATGTATCATTTTGTTATAACATTTCTTCTTTTATTTTTCATTACATTTCAATTTTTTTTCTAACACTATTATTTTCTTTTTATTTTTTGCTATTACAAAAAAATTGTTTCCATTGTTTCCATGGCACAACAAAGCAATGAGAATATTAATTTTGAAAAAATAATCCCAAATATTACTATTTTTCCAGCATAGTGTAGTTTATTTTAAAATAATGAATGTACCCAATTTTATCTATTTAAATGAGCATTATCATTCTATTGATATCAACAATAAATGTATTTTCATGTAAGAAAAAAAAAATTTTTTGAAATAATTTTTCCATCATCAAATTCTTGAAAAATTCAAAATATCTTTTGAACAATGAATTTGTTCGAACAATTAGAATGGTGAATGAAAAATAATTATTTGTTCTGCTGTCAATGAAAAAACAAAACAATTAAAATACTTGAAAATATAAATTTTAATGCCTCATTTACGTTATTTATTTTTGACATTTTGGATTGTTTGTAATTGGGAAGACAATTGCATTTTTAATCTTTGTTAACAAGGACCTTTCTTGAAGATTTTAAAGAATAGTTCCAAGAAAGAGAATATCCAGCTTGAAATTGAAAAAAAATATAGAAGTGTTTATACAAAACCTCCAACTTGGAAAAAATTGTTGATCAATATAGGCCTGATTGTGGAGAAAGTTTCGATACTTTTTTCCAGCTCATTATTATTCATTCATTCATGCATCAAGTGTCTAAGAAATAATTCAAATCTCTAGTCAAAAGTTAGGTCGCCCTTTTAGGATTTCGTACAAATACACCCTCGAAAGAATTCCTGGATGTTGCAGGATTCTAAACTATAGATATTTTGAAAGCAACCCCGTGATTATAAAGAGGGATTGAAAATATATTTTGGTATCCCATACAGAAATGAAAGACAATGGTTATTTCTACATCTCCGATATTGAAAATTGTTCAAATAGAGCGAAATTCAAAGCATAAGCGAAATTTTTTGACAAAGTCTCAATCTGGTTCGTGATTTCTGGGGTTGTGGTTTCAACACGTCGAGTGATTCGACTACATCATGTTTGTGATTCGACTACATCATTGGCAAGTGTATTTTTTGGGAAACAATTGAAATGAATTCAAGTAAACTGTTACTGATATGAATGTTACAGGTTCATGCTTTCCATGTTATTATAATTCTGTTTTCAATTCCAGATTAGATGAGCACCTCATCGCAAAACACAACTACCGAAGAGACGAATACCAGTGCGAATACTGTCCAAAAGCGTATTCACATCGCCCTTGTTTGATCAAACATCGAGCCATTAAACACGGAGAAACGAAGAAGTATCATTGTGAGAATTGCCCCAAGGTGAGTTCAGAAGATTTCTCATCACCAAAAAAAGTTCTGTGACAATTCAGTTACTCAATTTTGTTAATCAATTCAGTCCCTGGTCGAAGTATCGAAACTTCTGCAGCATTTGCAGCCAATAACAAACACATTCTCCTATTCAAATAGCCTCTTCAGTCAAAAAATTTCTTCAGACCTACTGTATGTCTGCAGCCGTAATATCTTCAATCAATCTGGAATATGTAATATATTGATCATCTGTGTCGTCCATCTCACATGTTTTAGTCATGATGACTTTTCTTCCTTCCAGCCTACAAGCCTGGATGAGCATCATAGAATCCTTAAGATCCAGCCTCTCCATAATTTGACAGACAATAAAGCAGCTGATTTCTCGGTATGTCACTCCCAATCCTATATTTATGTTGTATTTTGTTGTGGTTTGAGCTAATTGCTTCCATGATATTCCTACTAGAGTCCATCAAGGGCAGCTTTCGCATTGATTCAAACATTCCTGAAATATTCTAGAGTTGTCCTTTTGTTCTTCTCTTGTTGACATTTCTAGCAGTATGAATTGCTCTGTGTCCTCACCAAATTAGGCCAAACAACTATTTTCACTGTACTAATTATTCAAACTGATGAATCAAGAAATGAATGAACATATGTTATTGAAAAAATTGATGAAATTATTTTTGTTTCAGGTATTCACTGATCCCAGCAACCTCCAGAGGCATATAAGAACAAACCACGTTGGTGCTAGATCTCATGCTTGTCCCGAATGTGGAAAAACATTTGCAACTTCTTCTGGTCTGAAGCAGCACACTCATATCCATTCTTCTGTGAAACCTTTTCAATGTGAGGTCTGTTTTAAGGTGAGTTTTAGCAAATCTTTCCCAAAATATATATTTTACATTCAATTTGGTAGACCCATGGACCAATTTGCACTGGACCAAAGTTGCTTTTTAGAGAAGTTCATAGAATTTGTTTTGGTTTCAATATCTACTCACTAACTTCGTAACTTGATGAGGCATTTTCTCCATGAGTTGTCTGAAAAAATTGGTAATGTATCAGGTAAAATGGGAATGGGTTGACTCAGTATGTCTTTTTCGGTACATTGGCTTCATTTCCACAGAATGAACTATGAAGTGTCTGTGGATCTAAAATAGTAAATCTGGCAGCTTTGTTTAATTTTCAGTTTCTATTTCACAATTTTCACTTCACCAGAAAAGAAGACTTCATCTTCACGACCAAATGCGCCATGTAAAGGAGTTTTCTTCAACTAGTATCCTCTATTTTTGATCTGTAAACCCAATGAACTCTCGCCGATTTGATAAAAACTGATCCTTATATAGCTCAAGAATAACAACGCTCTTTATCACTACATCTACTAACTGATTCGTTTTTGTTTCAGGCCTACACCCAGTTCTCCAATCTGTGTCGCCACAAGCGAATGCATGCTGACTGTCGAATGCAAATAAAGTGCGTCAAGTGTGGGCAATCCTTCTCCACCGTTACTTCTTTATCGAAGCACAAACGATTTTGCGATTCAACAGCACCGACCTCTTCTCTAGCTTCACAACCACAACTACCTCTCAGTGCAATGGCTGGAACCAATCCCTTTCCGCTGTACAGACCTGGTTGCTCTTTACCTTTTGGATTTCCTCCCCAGTTTCCTCCCTACCACCAACTGTTTCCTTCCGGACCGATGATCCCTCCCCTATTCTTCAACCAGATGCATAAGCTCAACTCTGGGGAAGAACACTCTCCTCCGAAGAAGCTGAGGTTGAGCAGCGAAGGTCTTTCCCCAAAGATGGAGCGGTTTTCGCCTAAAGCAGAAAGATCTTCACCTTGTGTTGAGAGATTCACACCTCCAAGAGATACCACCTTCATGGCGAAAATCAGTCCCCCTAAAGGTACCGAAGCCAATGTAGCCCCTTCCCCAGCAAGACCTAGCAAAGTGTTCGCAACAACCGAACACATACGAGTGGAAATCCCTGAGGATGAAGACGAGTTTCCGAAGGACTTGTCTAAAAACTCTTGCAGCCCTTCATCTTCGAGTAGTGATGATGGAGATCAACCGCTGGACCTGAGTGGGTGGAAGAAATCCAAGCAGACCCCGGATACCAAGTTTATTGAGCCACAACGTCAGACCACCGCTTCTCCAGAGTCAACCAGAGAGGAAAAAATTGACGTAGTGGACGTAGAGGAAGAAAAGTCTCTGCCAATGGATGAAACTCCAGTCAAACCAACAATGGCATATCCCCGACCCATACACCCCATGATGCCAGACATGTGCAGGACGTTTCCATATAATTACCCGCATCCTCAAACTAACGACAGGTTACTGCCTTATCCCTTCCACCATCACAGGTTTCCATTCTTGAATGCTCTGCCTCCTCAAAGGATTGACCTGCTCCGACCCGCCCTTCCAGGATTCAATAACAGCAGACCCTTCCATGATGTCATGCAGCAGAGTCAAGGCAAGATCAATAAGGACAGATACGCCTGTAAGTTCTGCGGGAAAGTGTTCCCCAGATCTGCAAACCTAACCAGGCATTTGAGGACTCACACAGGGGAGCAGCCATACAAGTGCAGGTACTGCGAGAGGTCATTTAGCATATCCAGTAACCTCCAGAGACACGTGAGGAATATCCACAACAAGGAGAAGCCGTTCAAATGTCCGCTTTGTGACAGATGCTTTGGTCAACAGACAAATTTGGATAGGCACCTGAAGAAACACGAATCTGATGATGGCAACGGTGGGGTAGCAGTTGCAGATTCGCCAGGGAGTAGTAACGAAAACGAAAGAGAGGATGCTTGCTTTGACGAAATCAGATCTTTCATGGGAATTGTGACCTCTGGTGGAACTGACTACTATAACAATAGCAGGGTCTACAATACGTCACCTCTCAATAACGACATTGACGTTGTAGGCAAAGAAGATGAGGATTCAGAAACTTACTCGGAAGTAGCTGATGAGTATTTGACTCAAACTATGAAACAAGAGAAGGAAAAATTGTTGAACAATAATGACCAGACAATCAAGGTTTCTACCTAGTTATGAGCCGTCAGTAATTTTCAAAGTTAGCACTTTTTTGGGAGAGTTTTATAATGTGATCGTCTTTTTTAAAGTTCTAGAGTAGAATTGAGTTAATTTATTGTAAATATGCATATCTGTCGATATATAAATTGTATAGTATTTCTTAAGTAAGATTATAAAGTTCCTACACAAATTTTGTCAATTTCGGATATATTCATGCACTTGAATCTCATATTATTCCTATAACAACCTCCGAAGTGTTGGAGTCTATTGTATTCATTCTCCGTATCACAATCTAGCAGTAGTTTTGCTAAGTGACTTGCTTTATTGATATTACAAATGTACTATACAAAATTATCCTTGATATTCTTTAATATGTTACTTTCCAATAGCACTATTGTTTATTTATGACATTCGCCACTTGTATATATATAGATGAATTTTCGAATTATCTGATAGGTTCTAAGAGAATAGTGTATGTAGTTTTTTTTGAGATATGTGAAAGGGAAGTCTTATTTACCAGTGATATTTCGATTTGAAAAATATAAATCGTGAATTCGAAACCAAAGTTAATGAATATTCCGTACAAAGTATTTTTGGTTTTTACCAAGGTGAATGTACTAAATCATAGTTGTTTATTATATGTATTTTCCTTTTATCATCACTTATGAATAGTACTTAGGGCATCATCACTTATTGTAAAATATATTTAAAAAAATAAACACACATATATAAGACGTGGTTTTCATTTAAATCAGAAGTTGTGAATACCTTAAACTAAATTGTAAAATTGTCTATGGCTTGAAGTTGAAATATAGATAAATTTTCTTTTTAGACCCAGATTGATATCATAAAATCGTATGGAAAAGAAAGTTTTTGGCTTTCTACAATAAAGTACTCATACATGAAAGAGGTATCATTTTACTCATATGGAACACTGACATCCTCAATGGCACACGTCGGTGTTTCGGAATAAAACACTTGTAATGCAACTCTTTCATAAAAATATGACTTTTTTCTATTCACGTACCGCAAACTCTCGTTCTGGAATTTATTCAGATATCATTTACAGGATTGCTACACAATATCGTATATGAAAAAGATAAAATTTCACTCACTAGTGTTTTCTTCTGAAACATCGATGTCCCGCATTGAAGATGACAGTGTTCCACGTATGTGGAATTTTTTCTCTTAAATTCTGTAGTAAGCATGTACATGATATCTGATTCAATTTTATTGAGAATGTTTGGAGTGAAAATTGGATAGGAAAAAGTGTTTTCGTACAATTCAATGTTCATATCAATGTAGTTGTTTCGAAGTTTATTTGAGAATCAATTTTTCGCTTTCTTAGGAAGATTCCTATATTTTTGTACAAAGGTTAAACAGTAAGAAACCAAAATATTTCTTGCCCAAATATCATTACAACTGGAAATTCATATATTATAGCCCAATACAAAAAACTGTTTATGGGTTATAAATGTACCCCAGTGAATAATGTTTTATTAAAGTGGTAATGGTGTCAGTGAAATCCTTCTAGTACACTTGCTGCTACATTCATAACAAATGATTATTGATTTTTAATTTTTGACCAAGTTAATTCTGTTGACAAAAAATTATCTACTGATTGAAGTATTGCATGAAGGAAATCGAAAAAAAGGAGATTCATTTTGAAATTAGATAATAGTACAGATAAACATGAACTAACAAAACAAAATAGGATTCAGTTGGGTTGAAACTGGAAGTAATAATCCTTTTGAAATTATTGCTGAAGTTTCTCAACACTCACTGTAATACTACTTCTTTTGGTGAACTATTTTTTAAGAATAACATAAGTGATCATACCGTGAATTGAAGGGATTATAATTTTAGTAGTGACTAATTTTTGGGCAAGGAAGTTTTTGGCTTTCTTCTACTCCATCTTGATACAAAAAATGTGAGAATCTTCCAGAGAAAGGAAGGAAGTTATCAATTTCAAAATACGTAACTATATACATTGATAAATTCTTTGGAAACAAATACTTTTATATGAACACTGAATTTTACAGAAGACACTATTCTCTACTCAGTTTGTATTCCAAACATTCTTTGTGGAATAAAATCAGATATCATTCACAGGATTTCTACATTAAATGAATGGTAACAAGTTGCACTTAAATGGAACACTGTCATCCTCACTGGTAGACATCGATGTTTCGCCGTGAGACACTTGCCTTAGGGCTCTTTAGTTCCAATCTGGATAAGATCATAGAAAATATACACAATTCATTCAATAATTACGATTTTTTATGTTACGAAATAAGTTTGATCTCCTTATGTCATCGATGACATCGTAATGACATTAATTCACCTATTTGGAGTGACTAATTTTTGGGAAAGAAAGTTTTTGGTTTTCTACTACTCCATCTTGATACAAAAAATGTGGGAATCTTCCAAAGAAAGGAAGGGAGTTATCAATTTTAAAATACGTTACTAAGTATATGGATGTGTATGCAAAGAAGTAACTTTCAAACACGAACTTAGTAGAGGGAAGTGTCTTCTGTAGAATTCACTGTTCATATAAAAGTATTCGTTTCGAAAGAATTTTTTCTTTCCTGTAATTCGATGTTTATATGAAAGTAGCTGTTTCAGGAGGGCTTTTTTTTCCAGTTCGTGTCTGAAAGTTACTACTTTGCATGATCTACATCCATGTATATAGTTGCGTATTTTTAAATTGAAAACTTCCTTGCTTTCTTTGGAAGATTCCCATATTTTTGTATCAAAATGATCATAACTGTTTCAAATAGTTTTAAGATATTAGTCTGATGGAGTGACTAATTTTTGGGAAAGAAAGTTTTTGGTTTTCTACTACTCCATCTTGATACAAAAAATGTGGGAATCTTCCAAAGAAAGGAAGGAAGTTATCAATTTTAAAATACGTTACTATATATATGGATGTGTATGCAAAAAAGTAACTTTCAAACACGAACTTAGTAGAGAGAAGTGTCTTCTGTAGAATTCAGTGTTCATATAAAAGTATTCGTTTCGAAAGAATTTTTTCTTTCGATGTTTATATGAAAGTAGCTGTTTCAGGAGGGCTTTTTTTCCAGTTCGTGTCTGAAAGTTACTACTTTGCATGATCTACATCCATGTATATAGTTGCGTATTTTTAAATTGATAACTTCCTTGCTTTCTTTGGAAGATTCCCATATTTTTGTATCAAGGTGATCATAACTATATCATATAGTTTTAAGATATTAGTCTGAGAGGAGTCTGGAATGTACAAATTCATTATTTCCATCCCTAATGAGAGAAAAGCGAAACACATTCTAGAAATTTCTTTTGGAGGCAATCTATTAGAGTTGTTCCTAAAAGGGCATTACAGTCTTCCTTTATTTATCAATGATAATTTTTTAACAACGGTATCATATTCCTCGAATATTTTCACTATGATTTCTGCTTATTTGGATTGAAACATTTTATAGAAATCGTTAGTTCCAACAACCCCTCATTCGGTAGCCCGATCATAGATGGCACTAGAATCTGAAATAATATGAAATAAAAGTTATGAGCAATAGAAACTGATTGGTGACATGATTTGGTATAACTATAAAATTTCCAAATTAGAATGTTTGCAACTGGTGAAAATTTTATCACACCACTATGATCTAATAAATCAATCAAAATATTATATAGAGTGTTTATTAAACATGCGGCAAAAAATTAAGGGCCCATTCCTTGGACTATTCTAAGGATATTTTGTTCTTTGATGATGTTTGTAGGGTGCTTTGTTTTGAAGATACGGGGTGAAAAAGAATTTTGACAATAACAATTTTGGTAATTTTAAAATCAATAATGTAGTCAAAATGAAAGTAGGTATAGCTTACTACACTGGATCTACCAAGTAATAAAAAATCCTACAATTCCTATGGTATTTATCAACAACATTCCGAGTACTACAAACAGCTGCAGATATTCAATTTGAATTGTATGTCTTGTAAGTGATCATTTGTACGTGTCGAATAGCTTGAAACTGATTTATTTCAACTATTTGACGTGCATTTTCTGTGTATAACATTCAAAGTCTTGTTAGTGAAGTCCTCTAGCATGAATGGCTACAGTAACGCAGATATGGCTGACATGCATTTCATTTATAGACTTGCTGATGGCAATTTATTAGAAGCTAGACGGTTGAACAGTGAACCATTTCCTAATTATAATGTACCTGATAGAAAAACCATTCAAAGTATACATCAACGACTTCGTGAAACAGGAGCATTGAAGTAAAATGGAGGAACAAGAAGGCCAATGACAGTAATAACGGTAGAAGTAGAAGAAAATGTGCTGGCCATGATAGAAGGAGGTCCAGGCACCTCTACTCGAAAAATTGTAGACACTTTAAATGTAAGTAACGGGACGACTTGGAACATTCATAGAGACTATTTGTTGTAGCCTTACCAAATACAACGAGTTCAGGCACGTTTTGCATTCTGTCAATGACTTTGGCGCACATTGGTTCAAATCCCTCAACTACTGACACTCATTTTTTTTACCAATGAAGCCAGTTTCTCAAGAAATACCATGAGGAATTTCTACAATGAGCATTTTCGGGCTGAAGAAAATCCACATGAGGTGCTTGAAGATCGTTTTCAACATCAGTTCTCCGGAAACGTTTGGGTGGGAATTGTAGGTGACTTCCTGATTGGACCGGTATTTCTGCCAGGAAGACTTATCGGCAAGGTATACCGCAACTTTTTGGAACAAACGCTACCTCAGTTTCTGGAGGATGTACCATTCGTTACAAGAAATACAATGTGGTTATGCACAATGGCGCACCAGCGTATTTTAGCATATTGGCTCGAGATTTTTCAACAGTAACATACTGAGATCGCTAGATTGGTCGAGATGGACCTCACTTATGGCCTTCTCGATCACATTACTTAAATCCCCTGGATTATTTCCTATGGGGCCACCTGGAATCATTAGTTATTCTACTCCAGTGGAAGATATGAAATATTTGAGACATCGGATAATTGCTGAGTGTAACGCGATCAGAAACGATCCTGGTATTTTTTTATGAAAGTGTTCGGGAGTCGATTAGGAGAATATTGGATTCTAGCATCCGAGCGGGGGGTAGTCATTTTCAACAGTTCTTGTAGATTAGGAAACATTACATGCAAATTGTTATTGTCGAAATTCTTCTTCGCTTCGTTCTTCAAGACAAACCTCCCTACCAATAATTATCAAAGCACAAAATATCTTTAGAATAGTCCAAGGAATAGTACCTTGAATTTTTGCAGCATCTTTAATGAACACCCTGTATAAAACAATGAAGATCGCATTAATTTCAATTTCATCAACTGAAGGTGGAATATATTGCATTTGATGTATGGCTTTTGCTTTTCATAGACTTTTCAATGATATCATATCAAAATAGCAGGAGTTCAACAAATTCATAATGACCATGGTAATAGGGAGAGCTTTTTGATTAAGGTCCATACACAGATGATTTGTTTGTGGTAAAGGTTCAGGTTAGATCTCAACTGGATGGTTTTTCATTATGAAGTATTCACTGGATACATCCATTCAAAGAGAGGTTATGAATAAAAATTTTTCAGAATGCTTCCTTTTTCGTAGCAAAAATCATTTATTTTTGTGACAGCTTCGTAATCCTTCTCTTTTTGGTATTCCTTCATCGACAATGACAAGACTATGTGATTTCAGAGTGTGAGTAGAAGATTTTCCCCTCTCCAGCGTTTTC